ACTAAATGACCAAAGTATGGTATTAAAGAGAGAATGTGATTAGCTGAAAATCTTTAGCTCTTTATTAAACAATCAATCATAAAAATGAGCTCTAACCTCCAAAAAGATAAAGAAAATGTCATGCATCCAAAATGTGTAACACTCTATCCACATTCATATACATACACTCTCTGTCACTCTCAGTTCATTAAATGATTAAACTCATTGCTACTGAATTAGAATCAAGTCCCAAACAAAGGCTCCAGCAGGTTCCTAAGACTGTAAATAGCAAAAAGTAGATTGTGCATCTTTGTCTTGTAGCGACAGAGCGGTAACGCAATTAAGTATATATAACCAATTTTCAATTTTTGTTTGAATTTTAGACTCATTTCCTCTTTTATGTAATAGGAAGTGGGGAGATAAAAATTGGAAACAGTAAAAAGTTGAATTAAGAAAAGAAAAACTTCAAAAGAATTACTATTAGAAGAAAAAGATACAGAAAAGTATCATTCATTTTCATGAAAATAAATACATTTCAGAGTTTTAATATTATATGTCCTAGAACATAAAGCAATGTGTTCAAGATTACTCATAATTAACAAATAATGAAATAAAACCAAGCGCACTTCCGTTAAGTTCTTTTCAACTCAGGGTGAACATCATAGGTAATTTAATGCTGTAAAACTTTACAGAGGATAGAATGCCATCTTTCTCCTATGGAGCAGCTTCTGGATTTAAACCACAACCTTTTAGTTTACAGTGCAACACATACTGTACTTTTCTACCAGAATGGAGGTCCCCCCCGCCAATACTCATGCATATGTGTACATATACATATATGCATTCATATAAAAATCATATAGGAAAAATAATTATAGATAATTTGGAAGGAATCAGATATTTCACAAGATTTATTTGCTTGGATTGGCGGCTTTAGGACAATAGTCTCATTGGACAAACTCAACCAACTCGTTTAACATAAACTTATTCAATGTCATGACTAAGATCAAAAAACTAGGTCAATAGGCAAAAAAATCAGTGTTATGCAAATAAGGATGATTCTAAATAAGATTAAAAAGAGTTACTACAATATTATATAAATCCTAAATTGTTGTTACTGTTGTTGTTATGTGCCATCAGTTTGTTATGATCCACACAGTCAAATGCCTTTGCATAATCAATGAAACACAGATAGACATTCTTCTGGTAGTCTCTGCTTTTAACTAAGATCCATCTAACATCAACTACAATATCCCTAGTACCATGAGTCCTTCTAAACCCAGCCTGGACTTCTGGCAGTTCTCTGCTAATGTACTGTTCCAGTCGTTTTTGGATAATCTTCAGTAGAATCATGCTTGCATGTGAAATCAATGAGATTGCTCTGTAGTTTCCACACTCTGTTGGGTCACCCTTCTTTGGGATGGGAACAAATATAGATCTCTTCCAGTCAGTTGGCCAAGTGGTTGTTCTCCAGATTTCTTGGCACAACTTGGTGAGCACATCCAGGGCAGCATCTGTTAACTGAAATATGTCAATTGGTATACCGTCTGTTCCGGTGGCCTTATTTTTCGCTATTTCCTTCAAAGCAGCTTGAACTTCTTCATCACCATAGGCTCTTGCTCAAATGTTATTTCATTAAATTCTTCTGTATCTGCCAATTCCTTTCGATACAATGACTCAGTATATTCCTTCCATCTTCTTTTGATACCTCCTGGATCATTTAACATTCTGCCTAAAGCATCCTTGATTATAGCAACTCGAGGTTTGAATTTGTTCTTCAGTTCCTTGAGCTTAAGAAATGTTGGACAAGTTCTGCCCTTTTGATTTTCTGACTCTAGCTCCTCGCACATTTCATTGTATTATTTTGCTTTATCATTCTGTGCTGCCTTTTGGAATCTTTTGTTCAGCTCTTTAATGTCTTGAATTCTTCCATGTGCTTTGGCTTCTCTACGTTCCAGTGCAATCTTCAGAGTCTCTTCTGATATCCATTTTGGTCCTTTCTTCCTCTTTTTATGTTCTGTTTATCATGCTGCTACATGTTAGTCTTTTCTTCCTCTTCTGTCTTTGTAATGACCCTTTACACTCTTCCTGAATGATATCTTTGACATCCTCCCACAACTCATCTGGTCTTTGCTCATTAGTGTTCAAGGCTTCAAACCTGTTCCTGAGATGATTCTGAAATTCAGGTGGGATGAAATCAAAGTCATATTTTGGCTCCTGTGGATTCGGTTTAATTTTCCTCAGCTTCAGCTTGAACTTGCATATGAGTAATTGGTGGTCTGTTCCACAATCAGCCCCTGGCCTAGTTTTCACAGCAGATACTGAGCTTCTCCAGCGGTTCCTTCCACAGATGTAGTCGATCTGATTCCTATGCATACCATCAGGTGAAATCCCTGAACTCCTAAATTAGATCATTTTAATAGTGCCAATTTGTATCACTGTGGTTTGTTGACCCTCCAGCTGGTTATTGTGGGTAGTTAAATCATACAAGGAGAGACTGCCCATTTTTTACCCACGAAACAGGTGGTGGGTTCAAAGTACATACCTTTGAGATGACAGCATAGCTCCTTACCATTAGGCCACCAGTGTTACAAGACACAACCATCAGTTTCTACTTCCACATCAAAAGAGAAACAAGGAAACCAGACTCAAGAGAAAAAACTAATGTGCAAGATAATAGTGTACAGAATTTCAAGTAAGCCCTAATCATAAGATGGTGCCTGGCTATCACTAATGACCATTCTGGATCTAATAAAAAACAGATGCATCATGATTGAATGAAGGAAAGAGCAAGGAACAGTATTTAAATCCTTTAAAAGTACAAGTTTCCCTGAGAATATTCCGCAGAGATATATTTCAAGTTCTTCCATAGGTATTTTGTAGATGAATAACAGATGAAACAAACAAACAAAACTCAAAATGATAACTAGACTTATGAAACGTTCAGTATGTAGATGACACAAGCTTGCTTGATGAAAATGAGGAGGACTTGAAACACTTGCAGCCTTCAATATGGATTGCATCTCAATGTCAAGGAAACAAAAATTCTTATCACAGGACCAGTAGGTAATATCACAATAGCTCTGGAGAAAAGATTGAGACTGTCAATGACTTTATCTTATTTGGATCCACATGAAACACACTTGACACCAACCCGCAATTAGGAGATCAGGAGACATGTTGTATTAGGAAAGTCTGCAGTGAAGGACCTCTCCAATTTACTGAGGAGCAATGATGATAGTTTGAGGACTAAAATGTGCCTGTTTTCAGATCATGGTCTTTTCAATCACTTTATATGCATCTAAGAACTAGACAATGAATTAGGATGATAAAAGAAAAACTGATGCCTTTGAGTTGTGGTGGAGGAAAGCACTGATTATCCCATTGACTGCCAAAAAAACCAACAGATATGTCTTGGAGAATGTGAAGCCAGATTGTGCCTTGGAAGCAAGAATAGAGAAGCTTTGTCTCATATTTTGGGCATATTGCTCAGAGAAAATATTCTTTGGAGAATGGCAAAGGAGAGGAAAACCCTCAACCAGGTGGATTGACATGGTGACTATAGTAATAGTCTCAAATGTGTCAGAGATTGTGAGGTTGCACAGGATATGACAGGGTACAAACCTATTGTTTCAAGGGTTGTTATGAGTCATATCTAACTTGAATGCACCTAGTAACAAATTTTCATGGTCCAAGGGGCATACACTTCCCACCAAGATTTTTTCGCTTTCCAGGTTTCTTGGGCTGGTATCGGGAAGGGATACAACCATTTGAATGTGAAAAAAAAAAAAAAAGAACTCATCTACTATGTTATATTTTGGACATATGTTTAACATATAATTGTATCAAAATCCATGTAATTTTCATTTTCCCCATTGATTTCAATGTATCTTCAAATACTGAAAATGCATGGCATCACAAAATATTCAAAGTTGAAAATAATTTGCCCACAAAAGAATTTTTTATAACAACTATATGTGATTAATTGGCTAAGAATTATTATTAAAAAGGAAAGTTGACAAAGAAATTACTAGAAATGAAACATTGAGAACGGAATTAATAAGAATACTAACACATTGACAAAAAACGTAACCACTGTCATTGAACAAGTTTTGTAGACATATTAAATAAGAACTTAATAAGGAACAAAATAAAAATTGTCTAGAGTATCAGGAAGAGTCTGCTTTTTATGTGTATGGAAGGTACGTAGGGGATGTTTATGGACAGAAAGGTTAAAATTTAAAAGTGAATGCCTATCATTGCCAAACATGGTACACACAAAAGAACATTTAGCATGGTTATTCAATCGGAACATTGAAAATTATATCAAATGCAATTCCACTCTACCCCTAAAGGTTGATCATGATATAACTGAAGATGAAAGGAAAAAAAATAAGAAATCATCTTATAAAAACACACTATCTTAAAGGTTCACTATGATGAATGAGTGTAACCAACCTAAAAATGATAATTTAATGGTAGCAGAAACAAGCAAAGGAAAGAAAATCTGATAAAATCTTAATTATAAGCTGAAACACAGCTAATATATAATCTTCGCAAATATTCTCACCTTTCTAGACCTCAGTTTCTATAAAATAGAGGATTGGATCAACATGATTACCAAAGTTCTTCAGAGATTTTACAAGATGTATTAATTTTTATATTTCACTCTCACTGTCAAGATAGGGAGTATATTTCTAATTTCAGAGTTTAAAATCATAAGATGAAGTGAGTGAAAAGAAGAGGCTTAATTTACTCTTATAATAAACTGAAATAAATCATACATACATACATACAGTACTAATGTGTGCAACACTCATCGTCCATATTTGACATTAGAGAACAGAGAAAACGCGCACGCGCACATACACACACACCCCCTCCATGAACTTTATTGAAGACCAAGACTGGTTCTTAAATCTGTGGGTAACAATGGTGTGAAAAAGCTTGATAACTGTATTTTTCTTGTTTTATGTAGCATAGGACATACGTAAAAGGTCACTTTGGGAAACGACACTCACCACAACAGCAAATTGCTCAGGTTCACTTAAGTTGTTGTAGTCACTCTTGAACTGAGACAATGAATTCAATTGCTCTTGGTCAGGAAGATGCTTTATTAAGTTCTAAAAATTAAGAACAAAAGTAAAACATTGTCATCAAGTATACTCAGAAGTTTAGGTAAAAAAAATATTAATATAGGCAGAAACCTAGTGAAGAGGGTAATAATTAGTCTTATTTTGTAATAATTCACCTTTTTTTAAGTATTAGCATATACTGCCTGTCTAGCATTTTTCAACTATTAGCATATACGTCTGTAGGCTTAAGGTCTATTTCCTCTTCTCAGTGTGATTATACATTCAAGTTAAGTAATATAGAATGTTTATTTGATACGTGAAATAATTAAGAAAGAAGGATTCAACTTATTCAAAGGAAAAGCTTCCTCACCTGGATAAAAGCAAACCAAATGTCACAAATTGAAGGCAAAGTTAAACATATTTCACTACCTCCCTCAGGGAAATAAAAGAAATCATCATATTTCTACTAAAAGGAAAAGTAAATGGATAAATCAAAGGAATTTTAATGGCAGTGTTTACAAGATATGATCAATAGGATTACAATTTTAATATTAAAAACTGAAGGATTCTCTAAAGCAAGAATAAAGTATTTTTTAATGTAAAAATAATTAAAATATTTCAAAGACACAAGATAATATACCTTGCTGATAAAACATAGATAGATCCTTTAGGAACCTAATTGACCATTTCTGTAATAACTTATATTTCACCTGACCATGAACTATTTGGCCCTTTATCCACACACATTCCCCTAAAGTCACAAGTTTCAGCAAGAAAATCATTCTCCGCTGGGAAAATAAAATGGAAAGCACATAGCCATGCCTCTCTGCTGATGCTTATATGATTAAACAATCTCTTGGACAAGGTCATTATAGGCTCCTTGCATCAATACATAATCAGCTTTAACAGTGTTCTAAACAATTAGTACATTGATAATAAGTATTTTTCAAAAGTAGTTAGTGTACACAATTACAAATGATAATTATGGTGCTAGCCATTCCCAATCATGTATTTTTTGTTTGTATTTGGTACAAACTCAAAGCCAAATTGAAATGAAGACTACATCATGCTAAACACATTTATGGAAACACAGATCTCAAAGGTGGTATTAATTAAGAATGGTATTAAGATAATACATATTAAGTAGTTAAATCAAAGAACAAGGTATTGACTTACTGTGTACCTTTGGGAAAAAAACGTGGTTAACTGGACAAAAATAAACAAAACACTAATGTTGGAATTTATAGTTATCCTTTGAAAAACTACCTGCTACTAGTACCCTAAAGAAACAATAACTGCCATCCTAACAGATACATGCACAACCATGTTTACTGCAGCTTTGTTCACAATAGCAAAGACTTGGAAACAACTTTAGTGCCATCAACAAACGAATGGATAGGGAAGCTCTGGTATATTCATTCACACAATGGAAAACTATGCTACATTAAAGAACAAAGAATTCATGAAATATTTACAAAATGGATGATCCTGGAGAACATTATACGGAGTAAGAAAATCTCAGTCACAAAAGGACAAATATTGCATAATGGCACTGTTGTAAAACTGGACTGACTTCAGGGTTGAGCGGAGAGTGAGAAAGAGTGGATAAATAATGTATACTGCACTGAAACAGATGAGGGAGAAAACTGTTTAAAAGCTATATAATTAGATATTATTATCATGACAGGAGTCCAGAATGAAGGCTGCATAGTGGAGTGGACTTGGGGGTAGGGATTGTATAACAATGAAAGAATTTTTCTTTTACTTTTCAAAGAGAAGAACAAATTGGGGGGAAAAGGTGGGCAGGGAGAATAATCCAACAATAAATGAATGGAAATCCAAAGTCTCTATAAATGTTCATTAAAATTAATAATAAAAAAAATTAAATTGCATTTTAAAAAGGAAAAACTGCCTATAACTATCATCACTTGTCAAAATTCATAGAGTTTCCAGAGTCATGTTGTTTAAAAAGTGGATGCCACTCCTGCTTCAAATGAAGGAGGGTAGAGAAATAAAAATAAACAGAAGTAGGGGGTGATGGAAAAGGCAATGTATAACAAGAGGCTTACCAGACACAGTAATTAAACAATTATTAATCATGTTGTAAAACATAATATGCATGAATGAATAAAAAATCCATATGATTTATAAACCTTCATATAGAAATAAAATAAATTCTTTTTTGAGATTAATATGGAAAAAATGGAAATAGACTGGAAATTTGCAGTATTGAGAAAATATAAGTAATTTATTGAATATAATAAATAAGAGACACTTTAAATTTGCTAAATGTTCAAAAATAATGTTCTCTTAAAACTAAGATGCTAACTAATCACCTCCACCCATAAATATGTTACATGGAAAACAGAACTGAAATTAAAGATAGATTTAGTTTATAATTAGTTAACCTTAACATAGGAAGACTACTCTAAAAATTCTGGTTGTTACTGATGTTTGGTACCAGAGTTCACAAAGACTTACAACAACTGGACATACAACCTGTGTGGGCTCATATAATTACCAGAGCTCTTAAAAGTAGGAGAGTAAGACATAACAATTTGAAGAAGAAATGACCATGGAAGACTGTTTAGAGACATACAGTTGCTCACCGCTGAAGATTAAAAACTGGCCATGAGCCAAAAAACACTGACCTCTAGAAGCAAAAAAGAGTGAGGAAAAGGGCAACAAAGAACAAATGCTGGTGAGGATATAGAAAATTTGTAACACTTTGTGATAACAGCAGGAGAAAACTAATACTTGATAAATTATACATACACAAACATTCTTTGGACATGGACATAAATTCCAAATATAAAAGAGCTCTTTTGTCTATTTCTAAATACCAAAGATCTATCTAAAAGCATTCAAAACATTCTAATAATCAAGTCAAAGTTACTTTATACATTTTTTACCAAATGTAAAATAATGCATACAAATTTTATTAAATAGAAAGATTTTAATGTGAAATATACTACAAGCAAGAAACCACATACAAAATTAATAAGGCAAAACACAAAATGACAATATACTGAAAGGGAGGAAAGTGCTTGGAGAAGACCTGTTGCATGAAATTGTTCATAAGTCTCAGAGACTCACAGGAAAAGTCATTAGTGAGATTATATCACCAACAAGACAGAAAAAAGGAAAAATTAGAAAAAAAAAAAAAAAAACAAAACCTGTGAGTAAACAGGTAAACAGGGAGCTCTCATGGTTTAGTGGTTAGGAATTGTGCTGCCTACCCATAAGTATGCTGTTCGAATACACCAGCCACTGGGTGTGAGGACGATGGGTGATCCACTTCCATGCAATTTATTACCTCTAAATACCAAATGGAGGGTCAGATATGTGCTGCATACAACTTTTCTGGATGCTCAACAACAACAATTTCTTAATGATAGAATAATTATGTTCAAAATAACTTTAGTAGATTTTTAACACTAGTAAATAACTTGTGGTTGTGTTGGGTTTTTCCCCGACTAATGTTTTATTCATTATAAGTATAAAATATAGTAAGCTAGAGACAGTCTGCTACTATATAATTTGTCTTTTAATTCAGCTTTAAATTCTAATAAGATACACATTTATAGATCCCTTATGTGAAATTCATCAATGTTAACACTACAGCAGTCTGGTTTTGAAAATATAACACTGCAAGTATGAAACAATTCTTAAACCCTCCAATATTTCTAAATTAATTCATAACCCTATCAAACAATCCCTAGGACTCACAGGCACAGAAGAGATTCAAGATAGGTTTCTTGGAAAACCAACATAAAATAATAAGCACCTTAATTTTTTATACCAAATATTAACACAATATTTAAAACATATACATCTGACATATTAAAGAACTGTACAAACAAATGTAAATTAACATATTATGTGTTTTAACTGTAACAAACAGAAATTGGCCAATTTTCCATTTTAAAAAAGTCATTTAAAAATAATTGAAATGTAATCATTTTGATACCATTATATTTAGTTTGCAGTTAAGGAGAAGAGGCAGAGTTTTATCTCCTGCAAATGCCCAAGTTATGCTAAAACTAATTATGCACAATGATTTTCCAGTTGAATGATTTGGGTAAAGAATTTTGCTTCACTAGCTGATTTCTATTTAATGAGAAGCTTGCAATGAAATATTGGAATTTAAGCTTTCTGACTGTTTGTTTACCTGAATCATAGACTCTGCCAACTGCGTTTCATTGACTTCCAATATCATCATTTTGATATCCTCATATGGCACCCGAAAAGAGCTCAGAAAGATTGCTATGAGGAAAAACAGGTTATAATGAATTAGTAAGAAAAGTATTTGAGATGTTCTTCAAAAACCATTCTATACAAAAGGATTTTAAACAATTAACCTAAGTACTTCAGGGGGAATTTTTACTAGGACATTTTATACTAATTTTATGATCTTCCTCTGTTTTAGTTCTAGTACTGAACATCACTCCTATATTCTAATACTGAAACTGAGACTGATTTTCAATGGTTAGTTATAAACATACCATGGGGAAAATGCCAATTTTCATATGATTAAAAAGTGATATATTTTTGATACATTATAAAAACAAAATGTTGTCATGAAAAAAATAATAAAATTTCAGCATGTTTATGTATTATTTAAACAAGCATATATGTCATTATTATTATTCCAACTCTACTATTTTAATATTGATTTAAGAATACAGTTAAAATGTACACTAAAATTTTTCATAAGCTATAGTAACACAGAAGAATTTCATGAAACAACATATGAGCAAGAGCCTATGGTGATGAAAGAAG